ACTGAGAAGAATACTGGGACTGATTTTGACCTTCAGTCTCAGTCTCATTCTGATTTTGAAAGAATGATCATCTTTCACAGTTTATTCTGGAAAATTACTCTCATTTCACTGTTCTTGAATTAAATCTGGTCATTTTTCATGCCATTTCTCTCAGAAATGGTCCATTTTCAGATTTTTTTGAGGCTTGGTCCTGGTGGGACTTACGCCAAGAAATGTATGAGACCAGATCAAATGGGACCAAATGTGAAATTCATGGTCCCGGCGGCCAGTCTAATTCTGACTACAATGTCTGAATTCAGTGCTGAATTCCTTATTCAGAATGAGAATCTCTGGAAGTCAGCAGTAGAATCTTTGTTAAACACAACAATTCTATCTGAAAGAGATGAAAAGTGAGGCAAATTCATTCTTCATGATATTCCAGTTGAAATTTTTGACTGTGAAGAAGGAATGCTACTTCTCAAAAATGAATTGAAAGAATACAACTCTATTCAACTGAGAAAGGAGCCTGTATGACTAAATTCAATTGAGTTCAGACAAAGCAGGAGAAATGCCTCTGTTCTAGTATATACAAAAACACTTGAACAGTCAAAGATCTCTGAAGTAAGAGTAGCAGGTTTGAAAATGAGAGTTCATGAATACAAAGACTCAAGGATGAACCTCAAAGCTCAAACACAGTGTTCAAACTGTCAAAGATATGAACACTTTGCAATCTCATGTTTTAGAGACTCAAAATGTGCATTCTGTGCTAGAGATTACAAAACTAGTGAGCATAAATATGAAACATGCTCAAAAAGAGGTGAAATTTGTCAACATACTCTGCTTAAGTGCTCTAATTGCAAAGAAAAACATGCATCTAGCTCAAAAGAATGTATGTTTGCTTCTAGAACTCAAAAGAACTGGAGAAAAGATGAAGCTCAAAGTCAATCTAGAACTGAAGAGAAGAGTCAAGCCAGTAAACTCACAACTGCAAGCTTAAAAAGAAGAAACTCTCAACTATCTAAGTCTTCAAACTCCAACTCTCCAGCTAAATGTAAACAGAACTTGAATTCTCAAACTCCTGTTAAGATTAGAGAATTGAGAAATGACTCTGGTGATAAACTAGATATAATGTAAGCAGTTGAGATTCCTACTTTTCAGAACAGTTATAATCTACTATCTGATGATAGTGATTAGATTCTACTCTACTCTCTTTTAGTATGAATATACAATAAAAACAACAAAAAAAGTTTAAAAACTCTTCAAAAATCACATTTATTCAAAATAATGTGAATAGAAACTCAAATTGTATTTATTCTTGTCTTCAAATTGCATTTGAATAAAAAGTTGATTTTATACTGCTTCAGGAGCCGAATTTTGATGCTGAGCAAAAATATGTTATTTCTCATTCAAGCTACTACTGCTTTTTACCTCAAAAGTCTGAGATAAAGTCAAGAGTAGTGATCTATGGAAGAAAGAGATCAAGATATCAATTTAATCTAAGATTTGATATCATGTCTGACCCTGATATTCTGGTGGGTGATATTATAGATAAAGAAAATGAGTTTGATACTATACAGCTCATAAATATCTATAATGAAAAGTCATTGAAGGAAAATAACAATATCTGGACAATTGATAGAGGATTTCTGAACATAACTTCATCAAGAAACTCTATAATTGCAGGAGATTTCAATACACATCATTTCTGATGAAATTCAGAATGCAAGAGAGCAGTGAGAGCTGATAATCTGATTGAATGAACCTTTGAGCATTCAATAGATTTGGTTAATAAGTCTGATCAACAAACATTCTTTAGAAAAGACATGAAACAGAAGTCTATTATAGATCTAACCTTCATATCATAAAATCTAATGAAAAGAAGACTTGTAAACTGGTTTATTGATTCAAATGAGACATCAGAATCAGATCATGAGATTATTCAATTTGATATTGAACTGAGTGAAAAACAAATGAGTGAAAATCCTCTTCTCTCTAATCAGTATAACTTTGAAAAAGCTGATTGAAAAGCAGGTGAAGAAAGCATAAAACTGCTAAAATCTGAAAGACAGAATGAGCTATATTGAAATTCTGGTCAAGATATCTCAAATGAAATGCTTGAGAATAGAGTGAAGCTTATTACATCTATTATTCTAACAAGTGTTAGAGATAATATTTCAAAAAGAAAATCTTCTGAGTATTCAAAACCTTGATGAAATGAGAATATCTCATCTAAAAGGAAAGAATTAGCTACTGCTAGAAGAGATTGAAAAAATGATGTAATATCTGATGAAGAGTTCAAAGCTGTCAGAAATGAATATTTTTCAGATATCAAAAGAGCTAAAACAGACTGCTGGAATAAATTTCTTGAAGAAGCACAAGGGAAGGAAATTTTTAAAGCTTTTAACTATACTAAAATAAGAAGTGTAGCAAAACTTCCAGCCTTAGAATATGAGTTTCAGAATGAATCATATACAGCAAACTCTTTTGAGAAAAAATGTCAAGCTTTCATGAGATTCTCTTTCAGAACTCATCAGACTCAGATTCAGATTCAGAGGAAGAGAATATATCACTTCTCAACTACATTGATGAAAATGACTGGGAATGGCCTGATCTTACACAAGATGAATTAGAGTCAGCTATCTTCTCAAGTTCTGTTAAAACTGCTGCAGGTTCTGATTCAATTAATCACTTGATTATTCAAAATACATATTCCTACTTAAAGAATGAATATTTTGAGCTCTTTTTCAATCTCTTGAAAAATGAATATCATTCTGAATGCTGGAGAGAAGCCACTGGAGTGATTCTTGCAAAACCTAATAGAAAAACTTCAATTCCTAAGTCATATAGAGTAATATCTCTATTGAACTGTTTAGAAAAGGTTTTAGAAAAGATAATAGCTACTCAACTATCTTTCATAAGCTCTATAGATGATTCTCTTTTATTCAGTGAACAAATGAAAGGTAGAAAACAGTGTTCTGCAATTGACACTGTTCTCTCAGTTGTTCATGATATTCAAATAGCAAAGCATGAGGGTCTGGTCTCAACTGCAGTTTTTATTGATATAAAGAGAGCATTTGATCATGTTTCAAAGTCAAAGTTAATTCAGACATTGAAGATATTAAAACTGCCACTTTCTCTAATAAAATGGGTTAACTGTTTTATATCTAAAAG